GGAGTCCTGGGTCGTAAAGAGGAATAGAAAACACCTTTCCTGTGGTCCTGCCGGCGGCCAAAAGCGTATCCTGAGACGGAACGTGAACACCGCCGTTATGTCTAAGCTGCAGAGGTTCACTCTGAGCCACGTGTTATTTTACGTCTGAAATGTGGTATCGCGCACGTTTGTTGGCTCTTAGTCCCATAACCTCCTTTTTCATAAACTACATTTAAGAAAAAAAAATTTTTTTTAATAAAGAGGGCGGAGTAGAGAAAGCACAGCCCAGATTCAGGCGGGAGCGAGCGTGTCGGCCCCGAAGCGTCAGCTCCGTGGGCACCGACCCACCTTCCCCGTTCGTTTGCCCTTTTAGGTTCCGAGTCAACATTTTGGGAGGAAACTCACAGCAAGTACAGTCGTGCGACTCTGAATAAATTACGTTCTTAAATGGCAATAGGACAGGAATTTAAGTACCTACCTATTTAAAAATCACGAACTTGACATAAAACCAGTGTCTACCACCAATTTTCCCCCTAAAATTCATATAAATAATAGCTAATTTTAGGAACTATGAATATGTCCAGCATTTTGAACAATACCGTCTAAAAATAAAGTACGTATTTAGACAATAGGCAGTATGGGCTTAAAGTTTAAAAAAATATGAAAAGAATATTATTGGTCTAGGCCCTGGCCAGGCAGCTCCGTCGGTTAGAGCGTCGCCCCGATGCGCCAAGGTTGAGGGTTAGATCCCCGGTCAAGGCACAGACAAAATCAACGAATGAAGGCACAAATACGTGGAACAACAAATCGATGTCTGTCTCTAATAATTAAAAAAAATAAATAAATTGGTATAAACACAGTTTCCATCTGAAACACAGGCCAGTCTTTGGACTAGTAGTATGTCTTCACCTAGATCATCTTCATCCGTTCACAGCATGAATTTAGAGGAACCAAATGGAGGCGGCCGACGGGCCCTGCCAGCACCGAGCACGTGTGGACACAGGCACAGTCTCCTCCGTCTACGTCTGATAAGGAGTGATCAGAATGTTCATCATCTCAGGAGAGCACGGGGCAACGACTCCTCATCACTCCCGGGGCGCCGGCCAAGGGAACGCCAGGGCGGAAGCCGCCCGGCCGCGAGTTACACCACGCGGATCAACGCAGACCGGACCCAAGTGTCACTGCAGAAAGGCCGTCACGTCACGGACACGGGACCTCGCCCGAAAGGCGTGGCCAGCGTCTAAGAGCGGCTCCGGGTGGCTATCTAAGGCCCGGGCCTGGGCGCGACGGAGGCGCTCCGCCCTGGCCCGCGCTGGCACGCCCAGGGACACAGCGCCGGCAGCTACAATGCCAAGTAACAGGTGAGCGCCCCGAACGGTCCTGCGGAGCCGGGCTTCGGACTTACCCAGCTACAGACACGGTGCCAGCTGCTGTCCTGCGCGGACACTGTCATTCTGCCCCTGATCACGGTGTACCCCAGTTTACCGTTAGGGTTAAAGAAACAACAATAGCCAACTATAACCTTACACACAGGGATCCAGAGAGGCTGGAAGGGAAAGAACGGAATAAGGTGTATGGCAGGCGAGTCACAGACCGGGGAAAACATGTACAACACACATCTGGCAAAGGACTTGCATCCGAAATAGACACAGAACTCTTAAAACTCAGCAGTGAGAAGGCGAGCGACTCAGTTAACAAAGAACAAAAGATCTGAACAGGCATCTCGCCGAAAACGATACACCACGGACGATAAGCACATGAAAAGATGCCAGCGGGAACCGGAAATGAAAACGACGAGACGCCTCGGCTCGCCTATCAGGATGGCTAAAATCCAGAGAACAGACACCACCAAGTGCTGGTGAGGGCGTGGGGCAACGGGCACTCCCGCCCGCTGCTGCTGGGCATGCAAGATGGTGCGGCCGCTTCGCAAGGCCGCCTGGCAGTTTCTCCCGAAGGTAAACGGTCTCACCATTTTCACCTGAAATCTTATGTCCGCAGAAAAAACCTGTATATGAATGTTTACAGCAGCTTTATTCACACTGCCCAAAACCGGAAGCAACCAAAATGAATGGGTGACCAAACTGTGGCACATCCATCTGTACAACTGAATATTAGTCAGGGATAAAAAAAGAAACTATTAAGCCACAAAAAGACATGGAGGAAGGGAAAGTGTACATTGCTTAGTGAAAGAAGCCAGTCTGAAAAGGCTACATATTCTGTAATTCCAACTAAGTGATATTATTCTAGAAAAGGCAAAACTAGAGACAGTAAAAAAAAAAAGATCAGTAGTTGCCAAGGGTGGGGGGAGTGGGGTGCGGATACTATAATGGTAGATATGTGTCATTAAACGATTGTTGCAACTCACACAACTCAGAGAGTAAACCCCAATGTAAACTATGGGTCTGAATTGATAATGTATCAACACTGGTCCTTCATTTGCAACAAATGTAACACACCAGTGCAAGATGTTACCAACGGGAAACTGAGTGGGGAGAGAGGAGAGCGTGGGAACTCCGCGTGAGATCTGCTCAGTTTTCTATAAACCTACGACTGCTCCAAAAAAATAGTCTGTTAACAACAAAAACAAACATTGCAGGTGTCATCTGAGACCTGCAGTCATTAGGAACCAGCCCCCTGCTTGGGGGACGCCACAGGCGGACAAGAGCTCGACCTGACTCTCAGTTACCTGTGTGCCCGTCTGGCGGACAACAGGCCTTCAACGTCTGGCCAATAAACAAGTATACTGAACGAATGAACAAATGAAAGGGTAACTGCAGAGAGAAAGGACATAAAGGACAGTGACAGGACAAGACTCATCCGATGGTGGCGCCTACAGCACTGGATTTCATTTCTATAATAAATACGATAGCTATTGTAGAAATTCCTACAGGAAAATTACTTTTGTTGACCCCGAGAGCCCGGCCGTCACCTCGCCACCCTCCTCTCCCACTGAAACGACTTTCGGATGAAGGGAGAGGCTTCTGTGACCGGCCTCTGGGGCGTGGGCGCCCAGCGTCCGCCCCCGGTGACCCAGAGCCCCGGCAGAGCACGCCCCGCGGGCAGGACTGGCCTCCACACGGAGCTGTTTCCGGCTCAGAGTTTTCAGGAGCAAATTCCTGGCAGCTTTCAGTGAGCCAAGGTTTGTGAACATAAGAGGTCAGGTCTCAGAGGATCCTGAACCACAAACAAGATAATTTAAAAAGAAAAAAAACCCAAAAACAAGGGACATTTTTGTTTACAAATTTTTCATTTTGCCAAACAAGAAGCTACAATACCCGGCTGTGTGGGCTCAGTGCTGGACGCCTGGCAGCCCGAGCTGAGAGAATCGAGCGTCCCAACAAGGGGAGCCTGCCAAGAGCAAGACACACAGAAGGCTCAGTGTTAGGCTCCTTCCAGCTTCCCGATCGCTGGCAGGAGGTGGGGGGGGGG